AAGTCTTTCTTCTGGAAGGATTGATTGTTTATGACAATTGCACCATTTTTTCATCAAACAATTTTTCACTAAATCCAAAATGTAATAAAATGTTTCTTGAGTCATTCTAGTATATGTATAAAATCTTTGACCATCAAATTTTTTTTTTTACAATTAAGTGATGGTATTCTCCGAAACGTTTCCTTTCTCTATTTATAGGATGTATAGCTGTTTTTCGCATTTTTAAATAAACATTTTCTAACAAAACCAAATCATCGTCCGATGAGTCCGACATTTTGCTTGATCTGCTTTAATCGGCTTCCTTTATGTAGGAAGGATCGATAAGCTCCGATCGGCTTTCGGCTTTCTTTCTGTATACGGCCTAAGAGCCTTTTACAAAATTGCGCCGCTGCCGTACTGTACGGCGCGTAGGTAGATTTGCACTAGTATATATTGCATTTTACGGGTGATATTTAGTCTTATAAAATAATTATTAACGAACTAATTATAAAAATATATACATATTTCAGTAATTCATTGATGGAAGATTAATTTTATGAACATTTTTGATAGTAATTCTATTTAATTCAATATCTAAAATCGAGGTAAACCTGCATTATTTTTTGGGAAAACTCACGGAGGTAAGATGTTTTTTTTTGATAATTAATGAGACTGAATATCAAAATTCTAATACATTATGTGACAACAAAAACATATTTTTAATGTCGTAGTAATTAATTTGATCTAATTTATTGATCATTATTGAGAGATTCAGGCGTTTGATGTTGTGCATTTTGCAAATTACGATTTTTTGCAAAAAATATGAAAGGACTCTTAAAACATGGCACGGAAGGTTTAGCCATGCTACGTTGCTCATGTCACGTCGACGACCGTTAGTCTGCCGCGTCACGTCGTCACCCACTCGCCTGCCGTATTGTTTGTGATTGTGAATCATAAGTATTAGTAACTTATGAGAAAATCCTGCAATTTTGTACGGTGCCACTCGCGAATCATGCCTTATATGTAATGAAATGTATGACGGGTCGCTCGGCCGCGAATCTAGCAGCCCCGGGCAAAGTTTGTGTGATGAACATATGCATTTTACTACCGGTCATGGAGGTTTATTTGACTTGAATCACGTTTAGCGGCGTTGTACATTTTTTCTGTAATGGGTAAAAACTGTTAAACTCGCGTCAGGACACGTGGCCTGATCGCGTCAGTCCTGACGTCCTGATTAGGTCACGTGTCCACGTGACCTATTCGTGCAAAATTATTCCCTAACCATTCCAAAATATAAAAAATGCACACCGTTAATATTCAAGTTTTCACCTCTGCCGGCACTCCCAGAGTGCAACCGGTCTTTTTTTTAAGTATGTGTGTAAGTCATTGAGTAACCACAGTGCAAGCTACGGTTAAGGTGCTATGCCGCGACCTGAGTTGTCACGGGCGAGGCCGCGCCGCGCAGTGTTGCCAAACGTATGAGAACTCTTACGTTCGAGATTTAGCAGTATCTATACATGATACGAGGTGATGATACGATAATAGGAATAAGAATGCATTTAGTGATGGCATAATGAATCTGGTCTTACTGAGACGATCCTTTGTGGACTGGACATTTATTTACTTTCTAATAATATTTTTGGTTTGTGTACATGCCACAAACAGTCAACATTGTTCAAATCTCATATCAAAGTGTACGAGATATCTATTTACCTCGTATCATGTATAGATAGATACTGCTAAATCTCGAACGTCAGAGTTCTCATACGTTAGTCAACCCTGTGCGGCGCGGTCACGCCCGCCACAACACAGATAGTGGGACAGCACCTTAAGAGTAGCTTGCACTGTAGGTGTACTCAATGACTTATAAACATAATAAATTAGTTCATGTGACGTGCTTCACAGGCGACAGGATTAACCTCCATGACCGGTAGTAAAATGCATATGTTCATCACACAAACTTTGCCTGGGGCTGCTAGTCGCCTCCGACTCCTCCCTCACAGGCGACAAAGACCAACACTACACAGCTAACATACTTGCACACTAGCTTAGCATTAGGCAGACACCGCACCCGTAGGATAAGAATGTGAAGACCCGGTCTACACACGACACGCTACGACGTCTCAAAGACAGCCTCTAGTTGAGTCGACACCCTCAGATTCGAGTGGTCTAGAGGCTCCAGACGGAGAGGAGACTCCCCCCGTGGGGAGATGCCATCCGGCTGGAATACCTCTAGAGGCACTCGCCAATTCTCAGCTTGAGGTCCCTTTAGGATCTCGCCGTCCACAAACCCGGTGACGCTGTAATGGTCATCTGCGACCAACAGCATAGACACTAAAAAAAAGGGGGGCTGCTAGATTCGCGGCCAAGCGAGCCGCGAGCCATTCATTTCATTACTTAAGGCACGACTCGCGAATGGCACCGTGCAAAATTGCAGGACTTTCTCATGAGTTACTAATACTTATGATTCACAAAGATAATACGGCAGGTGACGATGTGACGCGGCAGATTAACGGTCGTCGACGTGACATGAGCAACGAAGCGTGGATAAACCTTCCACGCGATGTTTTAAAAGTGATTCAAGTCAAATAAAATTCCATGACCAGTAGTAAAATGCATATGTTCATCACACAAACTTTGCCCGAGGCTGCTAGATTCGCGGCCAAGCGAACCGTCATTCATTTCATTACATAAGGCATGACTCGCGAGTGGCACCGTGCAAAATTGCAGGGACTTTCTCATAAGTTACTAATACTTATCATTCACAATCACAAACATGATACGGCAGACGAGTGGGTGACGACGTGACGTGACGCCGCAGACTAACAACGGTCGTCGACGTGACATGAGAAACGTAGCGTGAATATACCTTCCCTGCGATGTTTTAAACGTGATTCAAGTCAAATACACCACTCGTGTACTTCAACGATAAATACAATAAGTAGGTCCAAATTGGACACCACCGACCAGTTGGCAATCCAACCACAAAAGTTCGGTCGGTGTATGTACACCTACGAAAAAAATTTCATATCCTACTTGTCTCTCTTCTTTAGTCGATTTATTTAAGAATCCATTGTCAATCATTGTAGGAATCACGTGTAATTTTTAATCCGAACGAATCCAACTGGATTCCCATTGATCCGGACGGATTATTCAGCTGTGCTATTATTTTGCCAAAAATTGGTATCACTAGATCCGGTTACCGGATCAGGTATATTGGTACCGTATCTAGTAAAGGTTTGATGATGCCGGATTCGTTTTTCCGGAATGCAATTGTCAATACTATTCCGAAGTAAATGAAATTATTCGTTGACTTGAACAACTCATAATCACGAAACATGCACGGTTTTACGGCTACGACGCTGGACCGATTGTTATTTGGGATACCAAATAATGGGAGTCTTGAAAACGATGCAAGCTAATTATTTCACGAAAATAAAACTGATAGGGGTAAATAAAGGACGGCAGTTTGTATGAGAAAATCGCAGGAACTGTAAACGCTATATTTGTCTGTATATTGTGAGTTATTGTATATTTTATTCTTTGTTACTCAACAGTTTTTTAAAAAACTTGGCTGTCCATTAAGTACCAAAGTTCCCTAGAGATTGCTTGTATTCTAACTAAAGTCAATACGAACTAAGTTTTCTTCGGTTATGAATAGATGCATCTATTTGAACGAAACCCAAAATTGCCGCAAGACACGCGGCCTATCATGCGGCTATTCCATTACCCATATATTTTGTATACGCGCACGCACGTTTATACACTGTTATCAGTAACCACCAGCATAATGACTGGCCTGCATTATAGGTACGCCCCGTAATTACAAAAGATGTTATCAGCCTTTGAATTGAATATCAAGGTCAACAACACACACAATATAGGCAAGTACAATACGGGTGACAAAAAAGCTGGTACTATTTATTTACTTTTCACCTACAAAACTATCTTTAGATCAACTGACGTGTACCAATGTAATTTCTGCAAAGGAACATAATAAAGTAAGATTTTATTGAATAACTGCACACAATATTATATATCTTTCTTAAACAGTTATTGTTATGTGTTATTTATCTTAATTTCTTTAAAGAAAAGAACATTTCAACTTGTTATAATCTATAGCTTTTCCATTTGTAGGAACAGACAAATGATTGCTGTATAGTTGAATAGGTACATAAATGTAAAGCTTCATATTATGGCCATTCATCATAATATGATTTATTGTTCTAATCTCGACCCAGTGCCACAATTGGTAATCAAGTTGTTGTCAGGTAAAAAAAAATATCCCTTTCTGCAATAAATCTAATATATAAAATTCTCGTGTCGCGGTGTTTGTGGTTAAACTCCTCCGAAACGACTTTCCCGATTCTCATGAAATTTTGTGTGCATATGTATATGTATATGGGTAGGTCTGAGAATCGGACATCTATTTTTCATCCCCCTAAATGTTAAGGGTAATCCACCCCCAATATTTATTTTTTTATTTAAATTTTTTTTTTTTATTTTTTTATGATACATCATACAAAAATACATACAACACTAAATTTTCACCCTTCTACCACCAACCCCTATTTTTTTATGGCTGTACGAAGTTCGCTGGGACAGCTAGTAACTATATACTACTCAATACATACAAGGATAGGACAGGTAAAAGCATGAAACATTTTTTCATAAGCATGCAGTTTTAGTTAGACACACCATGTAACTATCAAAAAGAGATAGGCACACATGCACTAATCAGCAAAACGAACAAACCAAAAGCTGCTGAAAAATTCATTCACATTAGAAAAGCAGCAAAAATTATTTTACTTTCCCTTGTGTCTGTGCAAAATATTAGACAAAAGAAAATGTAAAATCTGCCAATGGATATAATTGTTTTAAGAAAAAAGCTGCAAGGTTTTAATCACAATTATGAAACAATACTATTCTCATATGTTTGATGGCCAAATTACATCCATTATAAAAATAGTTCTATTTCACATGAAAATTTTAAAAGCGAAATGTTAAATTTAAAGTCTCACCTAAGTAGAATCCTGAAATTCTCCAACTCCCTTATACTATTTGACAGTCTTGCGAAGGCATTAAACAGTGCTACAATTTCAGTTCTCTGTAGGCGTTGCACTCTGTGCCTCAACGGAAGAATGCTCTGATCTGGATCGCTATCGGGACTGTCCCATTTACCAGAAAACAGGATTTTTAGGGCTGTACCCAACCCCTGTGTTTGAAGCTTGCCCCACAATTTACATTTGTCGCACCCAACACAGTCCATGATCCTTGAAATGTTCCGGAAGTGTTCACGGAACTCAACTTTTAATGTAGCAGCCTGGCTCCCTCCACTGAACATTGACGACTCATTAAAATGATCAGGGAAACTGTATATCACACCAAGCATATTCTGTATTGCTCCTCGAGTCTCCTCATCTTCTATGGGATTGCCAGTGTAATACTCTTCTCGCTCTAAATATGGGCCTGCTTTAGCTAGTGCTCTCATTTCTAACAAGTATACAAAGTAAAGATTTTTCAACCAATTTGGCCCTTCTCCAAGTGTCTGTGATGGATCAAAACGGCGTTGAAATTCATCAAGATTTGGACCCCATTCTCCTTCAGGTGGAGCTGCAAATCCCACCCCCTTCTCTGATAACAGATATATAGAGCACAAATGAATATTAATACTGGTGTGCATACCAGACACTGCTCTGTAAAATACTCTTTTCTCTAAACACATGTTACTCAAATCTGTGCTTAACACATAAGGAAACGATTCATAAGGATTCAATTTGGGGCGGAAGCAGTTTTCTTGATATATACTCCTCCAGATCCTATGAGCTGAAGGACCTTTGTACCCTGTATACCTTTCTGGATTCAAAGAGAGGTCAACATAATCAGCTTCTGCATCCCTATCATCATTTTCACAGAAATTTTCTAAGGCATCATCATATGCTTTCCATTTGGCTATTTCATATTGGCTAGCTGCACTGATGGTCATGTTAAGGTACCCCAAATCAGGATCATGGTCAGAATCTCTACTACAATCTGACTGTGCTTCTTTGGAGTACTTAGTAGCTGGTGATTCGTCATAATGATCGTTCTCATAACCATTGGCGTAACCTGGCACACTTTCTTTCGAACATGTTTTTATGTGGCAGTATTTCATAGCGCATCTGCTGTCGTCAGCCCAAAAAGGGCATTCCTTCTTCAAGTTTACTTTGTAAAAACGGAAATAATCTTTACTTACAAGACTTTGGATGCGTGGGAAGATTTTAACATTGTTGAAGTAATCTATTGTATCAACGTTGCAGGAACAGTCTCCTAAAGCGCCATGGAGCGCCTCAAAGCAGACATTGCTGTCGCAAGGTGGTGTTTCATACAATTCTGTGTCGAAACCAACTGCTTGTACTATCGCAAGAGCGAAAATTATAAACACAACACAGTAATTTTTGTATGCCATTTCGGATAACGATGTGGCCATGGCATTAGTGTTACAGGTAGGTTGTAAAATATGTCACATTTATTTAATTTTTATAATCTGGTTGAGACAAACTGCAAAAGTGAAAGGCTACTTCTTCATAATCACATGAAATCTAATTAGAAAGTCGGATAAAATGTACGTGTATCGGCGAACGTACATTCACGCACAATGAAAACGAACGAACTGTCATTTTCGTTGTCAAACATTGCCGTCAATCGCTGCGGTCCGAATTGCGCGATTTCGTACAATTATACAATTTGCACCGATAATAGCGCGCTTAAAACTAACTGGTCGGTCCGATATGATTATGAAATATGAACATATTGGTGCTAACGTAATCCATGTGACGTCATCAGTGACATCATCAAGCCGTGGAAACGTTGCTCACGAAAATAAGGTAGTGCAGTGTTAAATGTCAAACGCTAATTTGACGTTTGAAGGTTTATGTTGCTAAAAATAATCTGAATACTTCACCTACTTTCAGGTTATATTCTCTTTGCTTAGTTTCTCTTTAAAATTTTAGTTTATTTTTGACGTGACAACGTCTTAAATTAGGTTGCGGCTGGGAGTCACTTATGAAAAAGTGTAACGCTCGGTAACGTTACGATGAGTCTCTCGTGTTAAGTTTAAGTTTACATGTACAATGTTTTAGTAAACAAAATATATTTCTATAGTTAAAATTTGTGCAATTCTTATTTTCATTCAATTCCTTGTTCCTATTGTGCAATTTAATTATATTCATATCAATAAATATTCTACCGAGAAAAAGACGTTGTCACGTAAAATCTTCGCCCGTAAAACCGACTTTACAGGCAACCATTTTTTTTAGATTGTATTTAATGTTAGTATACAAATTGTTATATCTCTCCCTTAATTTCATTAAACTCTTTTTCGTAGTATTGTATGACTTTTCTCAAATTTGTTTGTATTGTATTGGCAGATAATAAAATAAAGTCTATTTCACTAAAAATTTTCGATGAAGAATCGAACAACAGTATAGCTCTCCTTTTAACACAACAGTAATTCTTGAACCGTCAAGTCATTTACACACAAATGCGATTAAAGTGCGGTCCGAATTGATTGAGCCCAAACAGTGCACATAGCACCTTATTTAATTCGGACCTATCATTTGCACTGTTCGTAACGTTGGCAGTGTTTTTGCAATTCGGACCGCAGGGAATGTCAACTTATGACAGCTTCATGTCAATGTAAATTTTTATTATCTAATTTTCGTAATAGAAAATCAGAGGTTACGAGGAACATAGAGCATTATTTTTAGTTTGAAATGTTTATCGATATATAAATGTATGCTTAATTTTTATAATAAGTCGTAAGGCACATATTGTAATTTTCATTGTTTTATTATTTAGTTATCAGTAAGTGCATTTTAATACCCCAATCTTTCAGTTTCTGTCAATATTTCAACGGTTAAGACCACCATTTGTGACCCTCTACACTATCTTAAATGTTATTTTTATATTGTTCGTGTTATAATAAAGAGTTATCATTTGAATAACATTGTTTTACAGCAACAATAGGCTAGTTTACTCATGTCGAATTATATTAAATAAATGTTTATTTCTTAAATTATTTTGTCTAAGGAACCTTAATATATCGATTTCTCTTCATAAAAGCAGAAGATTGCTGTAGAAATTTAATTTTAAAAAATATTTTTTAGTCTATATTTTTTAAACACTAAAAACGCTGTTCGCCACATCCGCCATGATTTTGACGTCTCTTGTGGTAAACAACTAAATGTCATTCGCGTGTTACTGTAGGTGGATATTATCGTCTGACTTTTATCTTAAAACACTTTTAACTTTAGGAAAGAAAAAAACATTGACTAAACTAATAATGGATGCCGGCTTTGTGAAACCAGAAAGCACAAATCTGCCAAGAATTGACGCATTGATGGTTGGTGAATTTGTTGCACTAAACCCCGATTTCTGCTCTGCGGAGCAGAGAAACGACAAGGCATCTATGTAAGTACAGTGCATTTAGTATTACAATGTAGTAATAAACATAAAACTGATACAACATATGAATAAATGTAATAAAGTTGCGTAGGTTAAATTCTTTCGGCACTTTAATCCACTTTCCTAGAGTCTTCAAGGATGTGTTTTTATATTCTCGTACAATACAGTAATGATAATTATTTTAGTTTTCGTGGTATTTATTAGAAATCATGTTTTTTTTTATTATAAACTCAGTTAAAAGTAATTTTCTACGTGTTTACGAGTTTTTGTTTACCACAGTTCACGTCATAGCATAAATAATCTATAGACTAAAATGGCCGACAGCGTTTTTGTATGTCCATGAAAAGTCTATATTAAAATTAAAGATTTGTAGCTTTCTAGGTTTAAAAAAAATACAATACATTTTTTTTCGGTCTAATAGAACATTTATTAACCATTTAAAACCTTTTTCCAAAAAGGGTCAACTAGCCTATTATTCTGAGCCTTGAACCAAAGTAACTCTGAGAAACCTGCAGTTATCACACAGCTATGCACTACGCTGCGTAGCGCCAGAGTGCACGTTGTTAAGTTGCTTGCAGTACTTCTCTTTGTATTGAAATACGCTTAGTGCAACACTTTATGGCCGTTGCAGACGATGCGCAGTAAGTAGCGCAAGTACTAATCATAGGTACTTGCACCAGCCAACCATGGACAAGCGTAGGTATTGTTTTGCGTAAATTATTTAAGTGCGTACTTCAAGAACTAAATGAAGTGATAGCCGAGGAACTGATGCAGGAATACAGAAACTACAAAAGGGAAAACGATTGATTAGGCAATTGATTGCAAGAAAATTGCTTGGATTATCAAATTTACTAATGCGGAAACTGGCTTAGAGGATGCAAAAGAATATCGCTGCCTAAACAAGAATGAACCAGCGATTGGAACCGTACGATAATTATCGTACACATACGACAATTTCATGCCTACGTACGATGTACGATATCATATTATTATTTTAAAAAATACGATAATTTTGCTCCATGTACGATAATTCTACGCTACTGGTACGATAGTTGCCTTGCTTCAAGTTTTGAACACTGGAATGAACTGGCGCCAGTACCACGGTAATATTATCTATACAGTATTGTGACTCCGCCCTGTCCTTGAAAATAAATGCCTACACCGAACGCTGCGTTGGCACGCGGTAGGGCCGCCAGCCTACAGTATTTTATGTAGTTTTGTTTTTAACGCGAGTGTAGGTAGATTACTCGTTTGTCTCCTTTTTCATCCTAACCACTTATTTATATATTATTCCAGATATTTTGCCCGATGGAAAAACCGAAATACCTAAATATTAGAAACAAATAACGTACTAGTAGATAGTTATATAAAAAATATTCTATAAAGGTAAGACACCTTTCCAATATTTCAGGTAATTTAAAAAATGATATCTCTGGGTGTGTTATTGAAGAGTTCAAGCAACCAAAAACAGCAATTGTGCTGTTGTACGATATTGATCGTCGTTTGTTCTTTTCCATACTAAATTATGTAGGTATCTACTTAATTAAATCAAATATTTACAATACAAAACGCATGTTTAAGCACGGCTAACTGCATAAAAAACAATTCAGACCGTTCGGTCGTCGTTGCGGCGCGGCGGCGCATTCGCGACTGGGTGCACGCCGAGAGCACATCGAACTCGAGTGGCGTAGGTATGACTCGCTTTCCGACCGTTTGTATGAAGATAGAATACTGTATGATATTATTACCGTGCCAGTACCGACCGCGTCGTGTTCGGATGATGCGCAGTGCGAGTAGCGCGGGGGTGAAGCAGACGCAGCGGGAGCAAACGAGTCGCGCTCGCGCTAGGACCAAAGCGAGTACAACTAAGCAACTTACACTCGCACTTTTACTAATCAAAATATGTTCACACGACGAAATTATATGCACAGTAGTGCTTGCCCAAGCTACTGCGCATCGTCTGCAACGGCCATTACACTCGAAACTCATTCACGTGCAGTATTGCAGTCACGCGCTTGCGACGAGCTGGCACACCGTGATCTGCAGTATGGTGCATGATTTTACAAATAATTGATATAATGTATCTTCGTATTTTTTTAAAGGACATTGGGCAAAAATATATGGACGCTGCACCCACTTCCGCCACAGTTTCAACTACATTTGTTTGAAAGGTATTATAGTCATGATCATCTGTGCCAAAGCGCATCAAATTCCATCCCGGGGGTCTTTAGTTATTTAAGGTTATGTACTATAACGAACGAACATTAATGAAAAAAGGGAATTTATTTAGATAGTCCGACCGTACATAGAAGGCTCGGGTATTATGGGAGTACTTCACGAGGTGCAAGGGTGCCCCTTATGTTATTCTGCCACGCTAAAGTAAATCCAAAAGTCCCCGCATGGGTTCGAGTGTTTTCAAACAGTATGTTCGTTGTAGTAAATTGTCTTCTATGTAAAATGGAGCGACCACAAATCACACAAACTTGTCCAAGCTTCGGAGAAAACATGATTCCAGTTCATCCATACTAATTGACAAAACCGATTATAGTGTTCCAATGTCTAAAGCATGTTAAATAAACATCAATCAAGTGACAGGGAGCGCACAATCATAACGAACTAAGACGCGTCGACTATTTGCAACTGCAAGGCCTTCAACCCCCGTAAACCGTTTTGTGGTGGCTCAGTAAGTGCAAGTGCAGGATGGTCGGTAGGCTTTGTCGTATATCTGGTTGTATAGTTTGATATGGTATATTATTATGGTGGTTTCGAATAATATAAAATGAAGATACTATAAAATTAATTTATTTAGCTACTTAAATATGCCAATGTGTCATATCTTTTGACTACCAGTGTAATTTTTACGGTGTCATAATAAAAAAGGCTAGTTTTTCATATAGATAGATATCGATTCATACTAATTACATTGTTGGCGGAGCTGGGTGTGTTTTGCCCATTGTCCTTTAAGTACCATTCTAAACAAATAATTCCTTTATCGATCTTGTTCGTATAAATGTACCCAATATCTTCTATAAACACTATTTCTTCTTTGAAAATTCCATTTGATACCCATATCATTAAAGTGCAATGTCAATTCTGACATTATTTTCTAAACTTAAAACTAACATCAGTCTCCCTTTTTATTCTGTATAGAGAATGACAAGGATACACTGTTGTCAAATTTAAGTTTAGGTTTAGAGAATCATGTCAGAATCGACAGCATTGTCATCCAAACTTAATTTGTTTCGGTTAAGATGAGAATTTAAACTGCTGCAAAATTCAGTGTTGTAAGATTTGATCGAACATTCATAAATACATGCATAACTAGGTACCTACATTGCAAGTTTAATAACAGCTTTTATAAAGATAAATAAGGTTTACCATAAAATAGCATAATATATGAATGTAAATTAAATACCCAGTTACATGATAGAGGGGATAACCCGAGTATTTGTGAATTTTCAAATCCTCGTAACTTTATCAAAACCTGGTGCTAACTGCGTCGTTGCTCTCGGTTGTGAGCGCTGGTTGGTTCGATTGTTTGATGTCGGGTCGTTTGATTGGCTATTATCTATTAGGTGGAAGTGTAGTAGAGGCGGGATGGCGACATCGGTTTACATACAAACGGTCTATGATCGCCCTTTTAACCTCTTTCTGTGTTCTGTGGGTAGCGGGTTGCGGCAAACTTCTTGATCAAAACCACAGACAAATAAACTTGGGTAGTAGACATTTAATGTTATGTATAGGTAGAAAAAACAAACTTCTGGAGCAAAACGTTTTTTCCGTAAAATAGCTACTGTGGAAGCCTTTTTGGTCTATGGTCGTTACCCAAGAAGTTTGCCGGGATGTAAGTATTTGTGTGATTGCTACTGCGCAGGCTCCGTTGTCCATAGTTTATGCTTAAGATGTTTGCAGGGTTGTACCTTTTACCCCCTTATTAATAAACCAAGGAATAAGCTTAGACCTGTTACGCCGTGTTTTATTCAAGACACTCAAATGCCATTTGTCATTTAATGAACAGAGACAAAATATGAAGTAACTTATCCAAGCTTATACTTCGTTTATTAAAAAGAGAGTTAAGGTATCCCCAAAATAAGAAAAACTTACTTTTATAAAGGTAATAATAATAAATTATTATTTTCGTATTGAACGGGTTTTTACGCAGGCAAATCCTCTATTTACAGACGTTTGGCGCCCTTGAGGGGCACACCACCGAACGGACCTCACACCTAGCCTCTCTCAAGACTCACGGGTGCGAAACGGAGAAGCCGTTAAGCAGTCCGTGCGGCTTACGAGCGGTTACGGCATACTATCCGCTAAAAAACCCTGCGAATACCCTCTTCGCTGTTAAGTTCGGAACCGCGAGATCCCCATTGAGGGATTTCACCTGACAGCTTCTCGGCCTAGCCGGGGCTCCACGCAGACCCCTCTTTCCCAGTGGGCACTTTGGGCAAGTGCCCAGGGCCCCGCGATCGATAGGGGCCCCCCTCAGATCAAATACAAAGTCCCTCGTTCCTGTTAAATCGACAAACGGGGGTCATAGGGGGCCGCATTATCCTAATACTAGCAAACCAGTGAACCAAATGTTCACCAAAACCTGATTTCTCGAAAACCGGAAGGGCTACGTTACTCAAATCCGGTTTGTAGTCTTATCAGACTATTCTTAACTTATAACTTAAATATTCTCTTTATCTATCTCTTACGGTTTGGCCGCTGAAACAGCACCACAGACAGACGGACGGACTTGTCTAATAGATAAGAGATGCCAAGGGCCCCGAGCCCCCAATAGGTCAAAGACGGCACTAGCTCCACGGCAGTGATCAGCGGGAGCTGAGTGCGCAGCCTATTGCCCACTGCACTGCTCCCCGTCTGCTACGGAAGGATATAAGTAAGCACTTCTTATTTTGGGGCTAAATATTTGGAATTCATTATGATTTGGATATCCTATTTAATATTATAAATGCGAATGGGTTTTTGAAGTTATACTTGTTTAGGGGCGTTAAGAAAAAAAATATGAGAGTGAAATTTTAAGACGCGCGCGCATCACTGTAACGCAAAAGTAACACCATGAAGTTCGCCACTAAACCGCGCATTAAGTCTCGAAAAAAAGCTACCAACAAAATAGAAATAGAATCTCTGTCGCGCATGTTGGCACGCTCGTCGCCTCTGATCACTGTTTTCATATTTATAATATTTATCCACATGTTTCTAGTTTTGTTTGTTCCTCAATCAAACCACTGAATGGATTTGGATGAAAGGTACGTATATAGTTTATGGCCTGGGGCCCAATTCTCGCGGCATAGATATTATATCACCTTCGATATATATCGAATGATCTGGCTTTTATCGAAGGAAAACCTTTTTGCCCTATTCTCACCATGTCGCAATAGATATTTATCTACGGATGATCAGTAGACATACATCGACTGGTAAAGAGCCTTCGATATATAAATATCTATGGATCTTGGCATGTCAATCTTGTTATTTCCACTTTTTTTACCTATTATTTATTGTGTTGTCGTGTGTCTTTGCCAGTTATTGTTACCTCAAGATGTTGTTAACTGCCTTCATAAATAATTAGTAAATAAAGAAGTAGGTAAACAATGGTGTCGATTCTGGCGTGATTCTCTAAACTTAAAACTAAATTTATTATCAGTCTCTCTTTTTCATTCTGTATAGAGAATGACAAGGAAACACTGTTGTCAAGTTTAAGTTTAGATTTAGAGAATCGTGCCAGAATCGACACCAGTTTATATTAACGATGGATGAGTTGATTCATGTTTTCGTCAATGATTTAATAAATGACGTGATTGCTGCTGCTGTGCTAAGGCGCCGCCGTTGTGAGAGCAAGAGGGATCATTTGAAATGAGGCACGCCGACTTCATAAAAAAAATACGTTTAAACAAAAAATTAGTTAGTAATCTTTAAAGTTATGAATGACATTGTTATCGATTCTGACACGGTTCTCTAAACTTAAAACTAAATTTAACATCAGTCTCTCCTTTTCATTCTGTATGGAGAATGACAAGGATACACTGTTGTAAAATTTACGTTTAGGTTTAGAGAATCATGCCAGAATCGACACCATTTTCTTATTGACGATACGGAGTTTTGGCGGGATTTCTGCGAGTGCGGTTGGCGTCTTATTTTAATTATTCTAAAATTCGTTCATAGTGGATATTGTGAAAAAAAATTGGTGTGATTTGGTGTTACAACCGTCTGCGCAACTAAAGAATTAGTGGAATCTTTAAAATATACGCTATTTCGGTCAAGTGGACGCGAGAACTTTATTGTAGTGTTGACTACCTCACAGAAGCTTAGAGAAAAAGCTGACTCCATAAATTTCGTGCCAAACACTCCAAGAAACATTAGAATGCGTCACACCGACATTCTAATGTAAAAAAAGAAGATTAATATAACTAAAGACTAGGCTGTATGGGCATTGTTCCCTTTGCCTTCCCTAAAAAGGGAGAATCTTAAATAATATTGACGTTTCATTATACATAACGTTGAAATTATATACGCATACAATTTAGGTAAAGTTGAGATTTCTTATACTCAAAAAATGTTTTAAAATGTTTTAAAAAATTTAATATGAATGGAATTCATAAAATATCATTTTGTTGCTTGTAAAATTCTGCTCTAATTTATTATTTATTTATATAGACTATGATGTTAACTTAATCGAGAAAAACGGAACGCATTCGGCAGTGAAAGAATATCTACGATAGATATATTAACATTGGAATATCGAAAATCCACGAGAATAGCATTTTTTACCATCAGTAGATATTTTCAATAGATATCCCTACTTTCGATATTATCTCGAAGCCGATATAATATCTACGTCGCGAGAATTGGGCCCCTGGATTGAGACATAGGATACTTTCATCCCGGAAAAATGTTAAGTGACTGGGAGTATCTCAAAAAGCCAAAGTTAACGCGGCCTCTAGTCATAATATATAAACACAATTGTAGTAGAAAATTTATTATTACGATGTAAAATATCCACATAAAGCAGATTATTCCGAAATGCACAAGAGATTCAAAAATACAATAAACAATTTGCTCCCCGTCTTCGATTTAAAATATCAATAACTATTTACATGATTTACTCAAAAGAAAACACTTATAATCACATTCATAAAATGCATTTATAAATTTAACAATTTAATGTATTAAAAGTTAATAAAGAGGTAAAATGGACGTTATTATTTGTTGCAAATGGATGCGCGTACTACGCATCCGGTCATTTATCTGGGTTTTCCATAAATTATGCTGTCACTTAATTTTAATTAACTTGAAATCTTATTAATATTAAATCTAATTTAAGAATAAGACATGTAATATAACAAAAATATAAGTCGCAAATATAATAATTAATATAATTTAAAAATAATGAATGGTAAGGTAGTTTTATCATTTATCTACACAACGGATCATCTCTTACATTGACACATTGCAGATGATATTTCAAGAGAAATAAAGAAATGCATACTATTGTGGATTATTATGGCAGACTAATCAGAAAAGGCACACCACATGACTGTATGTACACAAACAATTCATATTTCAATAGAAGGTACTTACTTATGACACTATAAAAATAATATTATAAATGTAATATCGTTTTTTTTTCGTAAGAAGGTACATCATAAAATATATCTATGTATATATTTTTTTAAATCCGAATCGTAAATTGGTAAACATTTAACGTTTGGTGGGCGAGTAATGGGTAAACTATATGAATGCATTATAGTCAACTATCAAAAATTATGACAAAATATTGTTGGTCTTATTCGAGTACTGTCTTGTCGGTGCAATGCCACAGCTTATACATATCTGAAATTAACAAATTGAAATTAGTATCATAAGAAAATTCACAAAAGAAAATGTTATTTTTTTAAGAAATGAACACTGGTACCGTGAAGAGAATTAATTAATCACAGTTTAAGGAATCGGAAATTTTCAAACAAAAGCTGCAAACGAAATTAAAATATAAATTGCATGCAAGTTAGTAACAAGTTATCGATTAATCTACTTACGGATATGTGACTTACGTATTACTTACATACATCGTGCAAGCCAAACCAAACTTCTCTGGTACTACCTTATATAAACGTCATAAGATAAGTGCATTCTTTTACTGCATTGTAGAATTTCACGCAGTATTTCCTAGTAAACTTGATTGCCAACTATTGCTATTAATAAAAAAGTAGGTACAGATATCTTTTTTGCTTATAAAATTATCTTTGGATTTGCTGAGATTTTTCATTCAAATCTTTCGCCATAAAGATAAGGCAAATAAAATGAAGACATTTGATACACATACATCTTTATTGAGTACAAATATTAAATTTAACGACATTAATAATAACGGACAATTTCGTCAAAATTAATTAAATAAGTTGCCTTGTACCTTGTGATGAGCTTGGTATTCGATTTGGCACTTAAATTTTTATTCTCATAGCATAAACATGTTGGTATTAAATAATGCTCACACGCATTGTGCATTTGAGTTAATAACTATTAAAATAAAGTACAATCATCGAAAACATCTTATTCACACAGACACCATTTTGGACTGTATATAGCACTAATATTATTAGTTAAATTCCGGCATTTTATGTTTTGTACACTTATCTAACACCCAAACACATCTAACATTTTGTTAGTCAATCAAATTTCAGTATCACAATGTTATTGTAAGGTTTACATATAAAAATAGTATAGTTAATACTATGTCCGATAATCCAAAAGGGTTATTTTTATTGAAAACAATGTTAGTGAGATTCTTTACAAATCTACAAGTTTACATTTGTAATAAGTATTTAAAATTGTTACATTTACTTTCTACGAGAGGAGGCACTACGAAACATTTCGTTTGAGATTCAATGGAGACACATTGAAAATCTAGAGATATTATATACACTCGACTGCAAATAAACTGGGCCACCTACTACCACGGAACTTTGATTTGATATTTTCTCAAAAAGTGTAAAACTTACAACTTATAAAATTATAACTACATAAAGAGCGTTTCAAGGTGATTAAAATGAAGTAGAAGTTATTGAGATTAATCCATTAATAAAAAAAATATTTTAAAACATCCAAGGAAGTATTGTTTACCAATTGTGGTATTCGGAAGTAACGAACGAAGCAAAAATTCTCATGTCTGAGAAAACTATGGAGAAAAAATAAATTAAAAGAAGTATCAGACTATCTTCATTTTATAAAAAAGAACGATAATCGCGACTTTATTAAATAAATAGCAAATTGTTAATGCTAACAATTTGCTATTTATTTAATGTAGTCTGTTAAGAGCTGTTCTTGCTCGATTACAAAGTAAGTTGAGACAGTACTTAACAACAGAATAAATTTTACTCATTTTAATAAATTATGAAACACACTGTTTGTAGATATAGCTATAATAGTTGTAAGTTTTATAGTTTTCGAAAAAATCAAATTAGAGTACCTAGGTACTAGCGGTTGGCCCAGTTTATTTGCAGTCGAGTGTATATTAGAACAAATGTTTTTAATTTACTAATTAAAAACATTTACTAATTAAAAACATTTGTATCATATCGTTATCGATTTCAATATTATAGATTACAACTATATGCTATGACTAAAAATCACCGAGATTAATAAAAAATATCATTTGAACTTTAATATTATCGTTTTATTCCAAAGTTGTTTGGATATTTAACCGTTAAAACTGTGTAGATTTAAGAGCGACACAAACTTTTGGCAAATAGAGATATTTGGAGATAGACTTGCTTGCTGTCGTATTGTTTTATTTTCGATTGTTTAAAATCAAAATCTTCCTTTCTAGGTGTACATGCTTAGCCAGCATTTGCAAACGTTCAGGGTTGCCAAAGTTGCCACAGAAAACCCTTAAAAGTATCTCGAAAATCCCAAAGTTCTGACAAGAAACATTTTATGAAACGATGATAATATTCCTCTGATTTTTAAGCTGATAAAGTAGAAGCATGTCAAATTTTTATTTGATAATATTTTAAAAAATGTTTAGCAAGACCTGAGTGTGTGGCGAATAACTTACAAAAAAATTTTTTTTTTCTGGTAGAAAACACACTGTTATTTTAGCCACCTTTTAAACTTAAATTGACGGCCATTTTTAATTTTTACATAAGCAAGTCACACGCGCACATCGACGCACGGCTATCGTTATTGCTTAGAACCCAGCAATATTTTTTGAGAAGATTATTTTTTAGAATTTTCAGTGAAGTTGGCAACCCAGTTGGCAATCTAACAATCTTGAATAAAATATCGAATCGAGATTTACTTACGTGACAAACAACTTTTATTATTAATATAAAGGTAATTTTCCGCAAAAATACTACTTTATCCACTAAACAATTTAAAACACATACATATAAATATTTCGTAATAGTAACGGCAGTTCAGTTAGGTATTATACTAACTAGTTACGCCCCCATTTTATTACCACAATTCAATGGTTATTAAGCATTAGTAATATTAATATAATCACAAGCATATAAATCACCAATTTTTAATTTAAGCCGTAATCAACGATATTAAATAGATAATATATAGATACAACAGCACGAACAATATCGTGGCGTAAACCTGTCCAAAAAGTACAATGTACTTTTACGATCCACGGTGCTCTGTAAGATGATCGCGTAATCAAAAACAATATAAGGCATTATTTAAACAAAGAAAGTCACCTTTGATGCATACTGTATTAGAAAAAAAATAAAAAAAGTAAAAGAGTTATGACAATTCAAAATGCAAGCTCGTAAAATTTTACAACCTTATTTCTTTGACTGTACGCCCAATCCTGAATACGCTATTAGAAATATTGCAGGTGCAGGTGCATATTGCCGCGAAGAAAAGAGACAGCTATATTACCGACCATGCTTTTGAATATCACAAATATTTTCAAAGAAATCGGTTTATAGTAGTATTGGATAGCTGTCGAAGAAAAGGACAGTTTACGTACTATAAGTATTTTTTTCACGGAGCTCTGCGGCATCTTGACTTTTCAGCGGTCCGCGCGTGTCTGTGATCCAAGAAGTGCTTGGGTCGTGTTCAAGCACTTCTTGATTGGACACATTTTGAGCGCACGTGGTGTATCTAGTAGGTATTTAATATCGTTGGCCGTAATATATAATTTAAGTCCATTTGTCATTTACGAGAGTACCGTAGCGAAAGTGATTATTTTCCTGGTTATTTTGTTCTTTTTGAAACACACGACGATGAAGTTTTCTTCGGATTCTACTTTATATAAGTATAAGTCATAAATTGAGTAACTCGATGGCGCGGGTAAATAGCGCGTTCGGCCTACGCTCGTAGAAGTAAAGCAACTTTCGCAATGGTCGGCCATCGGATGGGTCACCAAAACTTCTTATCTCGAGCTCCTCCCTGCTTCGGAAGGCATGTTAAGCATTTAGTCCCGGCTGCATCTGCATTCACGGGGGTGGGTGGGTCACGGCCCAATCCCCTATTCCATCCATAGGGAAGGCCTGTGTCTCAGCGTTGGGGACATTAATAGGCTCGTGATGATGATGATGATTTAAGATGAACGTGTCTCTAACTCTAAAGTAATTTAGTGCGACGATTAATTGTTTTTGTGTAAGTATCACTGCAGCTATATTCAAAATTCAATCGTGTGGACCGGGATTTTATAATCGTAATCTCGAAAGCTGTATTACCGTAGCGAAAATATTAAATCATAAATATTCCAATATTTCTACAATCAATTAGCCTAGTCCCAAAGTAAGGACTGTAAGGCTTGTGTTATGGGATACTAAAGTTACGGATAGAATACATGTACTGATGCATATATAAGTATTTTTTTATTGAAGTTATACTTCTTTAGGCGCGTTATGAAAAAATGATGAGAGTGAAATTTTTAGATGCGCGCGCATCACTGTAACCCAAAAGTAACAGCATGAAGTTGGCCGCGGGCGCGTTATGAAAAAATCATGTGAGTGAAATTTCGAGATGCGCGCGCATCACTGTAACACAATAGTAACACCATGAAGTTGGCCGCGGGCGCGTTATGAATGTTAGTGTCTAATAATGGTGGATTATTAACCACTTAGTGGTTAATAATCCACCATTATTAGACATCTGTTCGAAAGGTACTTTGAACGATCCACGGAGCTCCATAAGATGATCGCGTTGTCAAAAACAATGTTGGCACGCTCGTCGCCTCTGATCACTGTTTTCATATTTATAATATTTATCCACATGTTTCTAGTTTCTATATAGACACAACGTGTTTTAGTTACTTACAAGTGCTAATTTCATATGGACTAATAACTTAAATTCAGTAGTGATTTTAATTGAATATTTATTTAATTTTTCAAATTAAAACTGAACCTAATTGACTGTGTTAACTATCCTTTTCCAGTCCTTTTATTATTTTATTGTAATTATTAATTATTTGCATGCAATTAAAAAATATTTTTAATGATGCTAAAGAAGTATAACTTCTCACGTGCGTACATAAGTTACACGCATCCATTTTTTAGAAATAATTATAACATCCATGACTTAGCTACAAATGCTCGTAGGCATTACACAAACATTTGCCCCACCAGTATTCGAAACCGGTACCTATTATCGCATTGGATGCCATCAGTCAATAGGTATTATTATTTCGTGTGTTAATTCAACATCCGCCTATAAACCACACAGGAAAAAGTTTTTTTTTTATGTTTCCATTTCCACCATAACCGGATCGAAAGTGAATTAAATATCTTGATGCTTTGTAAACGGCGTAAATACCACTCGAGCCACGAAAGACGACAAAGTAAGAAAAAGACATGAAAATGATTCCGAAATTCCGTCGCGATCACTTTTTCAATACCTACGGTTACTTTCGTTAATGTTAAATCGGCTTTATAGACTTTGTTCCACGATAACTAACATAATGTAGTCGTTATGTGAAAATTGTCATTATACAACATTTAAAGCGTTCATTAAGAGTTAATATTAAACTCGATCATACAATGTACAAATTGAAGTCCCATCCTATGGTTACGTAACAAATACCACCCAACCTAACAGAAAAATAAAGAATAAAATGCTTTTAGATAACAACTATTACGTCAACGTCTCGGAGAATGGAACTTCAATCATATGGCCAAATTACAAAGGAAGTTGTACTTACCAAAACATTTTAATCATTTATGACAGCGCACCTCACACCGTAAATTTAAATTGTTTATCTGCTATGTTTTAAAACCCCTATTAAAGATTCTGAAACAGTTAGCTTATTTCCAACATGAAAACATCTAATGCCATAATTTTAAAAAAATCATAATAACACTCTTTCGCTTTTAAAATCCCTTCTACGCCAAGGGCCTGATCATCAGACAGCCACAATTTTCACTGATGGACGCTTTGTATTATGAATTTAAAAAAAAAGACCATTGTCAATCACGCGCGTTTCACTGCCGGTGTCGAAACTTTTCATGAATTTTAAATTCGTAGAAGTTTCAGAATATTTTATAGACGATTCAAATCATTGGTGCAGATGGTTTTGTATGCAACTGTTATATTAAAACACTCATGTGATAAACCCACATTCGTGTTCTCATCAAACCTCTCCTTAAACAACAGTAGCATAAATAATTATCAAATAACTCGGTACCCGGACTTTCGGTAAACGTTTTTTTAAGTAAATTGGTGGTTACAATGTCGACATTGAAAGACTTTATTGAGTGTGGCATAAGATCGATATTTGCAGAACAGTTCTCAGTGTCAAAAAGCCGGTGTGAAGTGAGCCATACATATAAAATACCAAAAGTTAAAAAAAAGCTTCTTGTTCCGAATCTCATTTAATCAAGATATTTTATTAATCGAATGAACTCAAATTATTAATGTTCGAATTTATATTAGTAATTTTAATAGAAAAATGGAGTTTAAAACTAATCAAATGAAACTGGAACATGACGCGGATTCCCCACATAAAATAACTTTTCAACCATGCAGTGAGCGTGCTCACTCGTTAGTAAATAAAGTACCAAAAAAATTGTGTTCATAGGTACCAGTTTTAATGTACAAAATATTAGTAGTGTGACCTTCTGTCCATGTTTCTTATGGAATTGGCCAGGCACAGCGCAAACAGGGCTCCGACCACCTGAAAAATAGAAAAAAAATCGATTATACAAAAGATAAAAGTAAATAAGGTGAGGTTTTATGAAAACACTAGCTGACCCAGCGAACTTCGTACCGCCATAAAAAAATTAATTAAAAAAACATTGTCCAGCGGACAAAATTGTGAATCTAAACCATTCTCAGATCCCCTTGAACACACACAAAAAATTTCATCAAAATCGGTCCAGTCGTTTAAGAGAAGTTCAGTGACATACACACTCACAAAAGAATTATATATATAAAGATAATGAAAGTGAAGCTTTTAAATTAAAAATCATTATGTCCTTCCTCCGCTGCGATTCGAACCTAAACCGCCCGCATAGCAGGCAAGCTTTCTACCACTGAACCACTGATTCTTGTTGATAGTCCGATTTTTTTATTAGCATTCAAAAATTTAGGGCGCCATGCTAAAGATAAACGATAAAACTTGTAGCGATGTAATAAAAAAAGAACTTTAATATTCGGAGTAAAAGGTGCTAGGGAATTTCCCGCTGGAATTGGAGTTCCCGTTTGGGGAGTCAACCTCTATCTTACAGTAGACCACAGGGAAAATACATAACTTTTCGGTGATTTTGTGACCGTAGTGAGTAACGTCGGCTTTGTCGCATCAACTATCTTCCTTCTGGCATGCACTTAACATCAGATCAGCTTATTAAGTTGTTAAATGTTAAAGTAATCCTAGTTAGAGAATCCTCTATCACGGTCAGATTTACTCTTTATAGGTTAACAATCAGAAGCCTTGAAACCAGCGAACGTGTATGAAAAGAGTGGTGTTAATGTAATACAAGAAGCAAAAAATGTGTTGAGGAACCATGCCACTTACGGTCTTCCTACCCCGCTAACTACTTGATACGTGTCGAACAGAATACGATATAATAGAATGGAATGGAACAAAGTGTAAAGGAACGGAATGGGAAATAAGAGCATGGAATAGAATGTAATGGAAAATAATGGCATGTTCGACGAATCTGCTCTTCGTATTCTGAATTACAACACTTCAATTACTGTTGACCGCATTGGTAGAAAAATCCTTTAGAAATAGATGTTTATTGTTTATGTCCTTTTCTAGCGCCGTTATATTACATCTAATAAATTGGATTGGAATGGAATACATTTTTTTTTATGTTATAGGGGGCATACGAGCAGACGGCTCACCTGATGGTAAGTGATCACCGTCGCCCATGGACATTTGCAACACCAGGAGTATCGCAAATGCGATGCCGGCCTTTTTTTTTAATAATAATGTAACAATGTAATATGAGTGTTGATTTTGTGCAATAATCACCTCAATGCAAGCGACACCGATGGCGATACCGGAGATGGGCTTGTTCCATTTCTCGTAGAATTCCCCAATGATGCGCCTGCAGCCGGGGTTGGCACTGGCGACGGTGCAGCCGATCACCTGCGCGCCGAAAGCGTCGTGGCTGCAGCAGCTCTTGTCCAGCGCTGCGCTGTAGTAGTCAGAGGGGCCGTTGTTACCGCAGCATTGCATCTGTTACGCAAAAGAAAAAGTTATGAGATTAGTAATTACGGTAGGTACAGACATTTTGAAGAGACGGATGAAGGGAACTGAAGAAATATATTGGTGTAGCGGGACCCTTCCAAATACACATCCACTTTATAAATATTTTTTTTTCCGACACACCAATTAGCCTAGCCCCAAAGAAAGCACTATAAGGCTTGTGTTATGGGATGCTAGGGTAACGGATAGAATACATATACTGTACATATACAAGTATATTTATATAAATACATATTAAACATCCATGACTGGAGTACAAATGCTCGTAGTCATCACACAAACATCTGCCCCCACCGGGATTCGAACCCGGGACCTCTCGAGTCGGCGACAGCCATGAAACCCGGCGTACAAACCACTCGGCCACGGAGGTCGTCAAATATGGTAGCGGACAAGTAGTGGAACCCGAAACTGAATCCGTCAAAATCAAATAGGTCAGTGCAAAAACAGATTTTATCATACATAAATAAAAACCATTTTTGTGGTCACAGCACTTGTAAGTTTAACCTGTCCTAACCGAAATAAAAATATTGTTTGTAAGTAATATTTCATTCCTCGACCTGACGAAGTCGATAATGATAAATTGAAGCCAAATTAGACCATATAGATAGATGGGAACCTAATGCTACTTTTTCACGTAAAAATATATGTTGAGAGAGGTGAAATAGGGAATTAAAGTTTTCATCGAAGCAGGCGAAGTCGCGGACACAATAATTAATATTCATATTTCTTGCAGCATTGGCAAAGCTTCAAAGCAGCATAAATAAAATATCAAAACACATAAAAGTTTCTTAATAAAAACAGCGTCAAGTAAGAATATAGCTATGTAGGTAGGTTACTTCATTTGTTGTTTTTTTTTCAGCGTCACGTCACCTTGTGGGTGTTTTTGTGACACTGCGATCGTAAGCAACAAGAATCGACCAATAACAAACACATTTGGTGATCAAACAATCTAGAAGTCGACAGATTAACCTTGAACGATACAATAATGACGATAACCTTAACATTCATAAAACTTGCAAAATTCTGATGTAGTGCAGGGTAATTTTAATTTTGTCTTGATGAGATCATGTGAAACTCTAACAAGCTAAACTGAATTGAATTTATCGTTTTTATGATACACAAGAGAATAAAACCAAGGAGAATACTATACAACAACACCTACTATACTGTAGAATTATGAAAATAAGTAGGTATGCTGATTGTTATAAACCATATCTCAGTGGTCATAGCCACATAATGGTGTCGATTCTGGCATGATTCTCTAAACCTAAACTTTAATTTGACAACAGTTGTTCCTTGTCATTCTCTTTACAGAATGAAAAGGAGAGACTGATGTTAAATTTAGTTTTAAGTTTAGAGAATCATGCCAGAGAGTCGATACCATTATATTTCTTAATCTTTATATATATAATTCTTCTGTGAGTGTGTATGTCACTGAACTTCTCTTAAACGACTGGACCGATTTTGATAAAATTTTTTGTGTGTGTTCAAGGGGATCTGAGAATGGTTTAGATTCACAATTTTGTCCGCTGGACAATGTTTTTTTATTTTTTTATTTTTTATGGCGGTACGAAGTTCGCTGGGTCAGCTAGTTTATTTATAAAAGAACTAGCGACCGCCAGCGACTGTATGACAGCGACATAATATGTGCGATATTTCACGACCAGTCAAATAATCATTGAATACAACATTGTTTACACGGGTACGGAGTGCGTTTCTATTAGTTTTCCTCGTTGTCCTTGAAGTTTCAGAACTTTTACAGGCTCCGTGGTCGGAAGTGTCACCAATCCTATGACCGATCGTTAGGAAATTGTTCAACAACAAACACCATCGATCTCATCAATAAATCATTTATGAACAAGGATAAAAAGGAGCTCGGTAGTGCAGAGGAGCTTGATGGCGCAGGTGGTTAGCGCGTTCATCTAAGTAAAGCAACATTCGTGATGTCCGGTCATTGTATGGATGACTAAAAAATTATTCTCTGCGTGCTACGAGAAGCACGTAAAGCCGTTGACCCCAGCTGCATTTGCAGGCGTAGCACCACCGAACTGGGTCCACGTAGTGGACGGCCCATTCTCCAAGGGCGGATCCAGCTTTGGCGCCAGGGGGGGGGTCATATAGTCGTGGTCAAGTCACAGTGGGTACAGATTGTGTAGTACAGATTGTGATGTGGGTACAGATGGACCCAGCCCAGGGGGGGGTCATGACACCCGTGACCCCACCTCTGGATCTGCCCTTGCCATTCTCCCTAAACCATCCATAGGGAAGACCTGTCAGGGACATTAATAGGCTGTGAAGATGCTTATGAAAAGTGTTTTAAATAAATAAATATTTCCAACACTCACACCAATTAGCCTAGCCCCAAAGTAAGCACTGTAAAGGCTTGTGTTATGGGATACTAGGGTAACGGATAGAATACATATACTGTACATATATAAGTATATTTATATAGAAATACATATTACACATCTATGACAGGAGAACAAATGCTCGTATTCATCACACAAACATCTGCCCCCACCGGGATTCGAACCCGGGACCTCTCGACTCGGCAACATCATGAAACCCGGCGTACAAACCACTCGGCCACGGAGGTCGTCAGATCATTGTTACCTGAGCTTGGATGTTGTTGAAGACCTCGCTGGCGGCGGCGTCACTTTGGCGTTTGTTCCACAGTCCATCAACACCCTTCTCCAAGCCAGTCTTGATGCTATCACCATACACGAACAGAAGTACGGCAAAGATCACTTGCATGATGATTATCACCAACAGGAAGATGGCGTACTGTTGAAAAAACAGATAACACATTTGTGAATTAGGTAATTCGTTCTCACATTTCTGAACTTCTTGGGGTTATTAATTTAAAGGAGTGAAACAATAACAAAGTATGCAACAGCTGCTTAATTACTACTAGTGAAGATAGAACAGGGTGTATTCGGAAGGCTATATTAAGCGATAATGCTGCCAAGATGTCACTACTCTTCAGTACCCTTAGCACGAACCAATATCGAATTCGTAACGTTTGCGAGTCCGAAATGTCATTGACAAATGTGTACTGATTTTTAGTTCTCGTTACGTACGTTATGGCGTTAATGTTCAAGTTTCAATACGAAATTTGACATTGACATTTCGGACTCGCAAACTATTCGATTTCGGTATTGGTTCGTGCTTAGGGTACTGTACCCCTAGCACGAACCATTATCGGCTATACATACAATTATAAAATTCGGCTATACTGCTGTCAGATATTAATCTATTTATCTTCATAGTTTTTATATATATTGCTTTTTCACTGAAATCAGAGTAGTATCCGTTTTTTTAACAAAAATCAAACAAGCATGGCCCGCCTGATGGTAAGCGCGGCCACCATAGCTTATAGACGCTTGCGATGGACCCGCGGAGCCCTGGAACCTTCCTCATACAAAATTACCACAAGGAAGTGCTATTTTACTGTGTTCTAGTCTAGGTCTGTTGGAATTTTTTCACCTAACAGAAGACCTCAGTGAAATAATACTACCTTTTGGTGGTGTCGATAAGTAAGGTTCAAAAGTTTCACGGGTTATATGATACGGTCAGGGTAAGCAAAGGCGCAAGTGATACTCTGGCATCACATTCGTTTGTAGACTATGGTGGCCATATTCCAACAGGCCATATTGCTTATTTTCCAACCTCGTCATCAGCCTATTAATGTACCCACTGCTAGGACACAGGCCTTCCCTATGGATGGAATAAGGAGATTGGGCCGCGACCCACCACGAGGGCCAAGTGAAAATTGGTGAGTGCTAACGACTGCAGATGCAGCCGGGACTAACGGCTTAACGTGCCTTCCGATGCACGGACGAGCTCGAGGTGATAAATTTTTGTTCAACCATCCAATGATCGACCACTACGAAAGTTGCTTAACTTCAACGATCGCAGCAGGTCACCACTTACTCCATCGAGCTCTTCAACTCGCCAATCTATTCACAAACAATAAAACAAACTACTTACGGTGACAACCATGCAGTGACTTTCCCGGATGGCTCCGCAGCATCCGAAGAACGCGATGATAAACATAATGGCCCCGATGATGATGAACACCCACGGCGCCACCGACAAGTGTGCCTGAAGCTCATCCTTCACTGTACTCCAGTTGACAAGGAACGCCACTCCAATGCCCACCACTGCGAGGCCTAATAACTGTAAAGAAAAGAAACAAAATGAATACAAAATGGGTTATACAGTCCCCGTACCCTTAATCCCAAAATTTACCACTATACCACGATTTTTATTGCGTCTAACTGTCAAACTCCATAGTAATTTGACAATTAATCCTGATAAAAACGAGATATACTTATATCGCGGTGCTCATGATATGAGAGCTAAAGCTCTGCCGTAGCGAACACGACAATTACCCCCCCTATGCCAGCTTTTCAATACAGTTTCCTACTTCATTCCATCATTATAATAAACTTAATGATATCCGTCATAAAAACCCGACACAATTAAGATAGTTCTGGTAGTAAATTACAGCCACGATAGCTGTACTTGAGAGAGAGAGAGAGTCAGAGAGAACCATTTTATTGACCAATAAATACACACGAACATATAATTATAAACAGCTTAAATTGAAACATATAGAAAGGAAACATCACAAACATTGATAAATCTAACCGTTATAATATTGGTCAATCAGGACCCTGCCTCAGCATAATCCTGCAGTGACATTAACTAAACGTGGCACGACAACGCTGGTATTCTGACAGAGCCTGTATGGTGCGCGGTGTTACGGTATACAAATTTAATGAAGAACACGAATATATTTATAATTTGATAAATACATACAAAAACTTAAAAATAATAAATATATATATATATACACATATATATATATATATATATATATATATTTATATATAATATATATATATATATTTCCAGTATCATTAGCTGTGTTATGTTAATCTGTGACTTGGCTTATCTGTCACTTTTTACAATTTAAATAATAAGGTAGGTAATCAAAATGAGGTTTGTTTAAAAATATGCATTGAGTGAGATTTTCCGCCATTCATGGTTTTATGTCTCTGTGTATGTTTTCTTTTTAAATGATTTTGCTATAGATGAAAAAGACGAGGTATGTGTTTCAAAGTTATTGCATGCATTGCAATTTCAGCAAGTGTTGCTTCAAATTATTCTTTTGTGTGTGTTTTGATTTAAGATCTCGCATCTGAGGAGGAAGGTCATTCCAACACTTGGAGGCAGCAAATCGGAAAGACCCACGAAAGGCTGCGGTGTGGTGTGTCGGAGTGCAGAAGATGCGAGTGCAAGACCTCTGCTGATATTTGCTACGTTGTTGTGCCCATCTAATTTTGCTTCTAGGTATTCCGGCTTGCCCGTACGGATGATACCAAACATCAAGGTGGTTAGATGCAAGCGCCTACGGGCCTCCATCTTTAGCATGTTTGCTCAGTTCAAAAATGGGGTGACATGAGTTCGCGGTGGTTTATGAAAGCAAAAACAGACGCACGCATTCTGCACTCGCTGGACAAGTCGCGACGATCTAGCTAGCAAGCATGCACCGTAAACAGTATCGCAGTTACTAAATTTGGACAAGACCTAGGCTTCGCATAGCGTGACTCTCAGTTTTTATGGTAAATATGGTCTTAATTTGTATTACAGCTTCAATATTACTATATTAGACTTATTGTAGGAGCAGTAAACCTAACTCTGATTAAACAGAAAACGAAATTGTACTTGCTTCTGCTCAAGAATGACACGCAAAATCGTGTAGTTCCACATTTTTAAAAGCTTGTGGTTTAATAAGTATTGTGGAGAAACTAGATAAGTTAAAGGAGCATGGTAACTAAGCTAACATCCAAGATGTGTGTGCTACCTAAGAAGCCGTGGCACCAAAAATTTAAAGGTACATCTATAAAATACATCGCTACTATGAACCGCTTGCGGATTAGTCATGAAGATCATGGTCATGGAAGATTCCAAGAGCATTTGAACAAGATCAAATTAGAAGACCAAAATGATTTCCGCTATTGCAATTCAAACAGCGTGGAAATTTTACAGTACCAACCGTCAATATACAGAGATTTTTATTGTTAGATGGCTTAATAGAGATATACCAATAACTGCAGAATACCCAATCAAATTAATGCCATCTATCATAAAAAATACTAATACATAATATACTATATTATTTGAATATGTGAATGATTGATGATGATGAAAATGACATTTTGACATTGCTATTATTTCAATTTTAACAGTTTAGGTATCCTATGTTACCCGAGATAGTGTAAGGATTCTAACGATACCACACATCTAAATCGGTTCAGGCGTTTAGAAGTTATGGTGAAATAAATAATTGTACATACATACATACATGTGAACCCTGAATACATTAAACATTTTTTTAGGGCAGTTGTGTAATAATTTCAATCAAGCGCTAAATTGAAATATCAAATGTGGTATTATAAAGTACCTAATTGACGTATCGAATATCACATTTGGTTCAAGTCTTTGGGAAGCAGTGGAGTGGAACAGGTTTTCTATATTAAGTTGCAAATAACCATGACTTTAATTTTACCACGTTTGTCGTCAAGTCAATAATTTGACTTCTATTCTGTATCGCTTTCGAACATTTTGTTAATCTTTTTATTATAATTTTATAATATGTTTCGATATATATACCTTTATTAAGTAAATAAGTATGTATGTAAACGAATTATCCATTATATGCATGATTGTTTCATGATTTTAAGCAAGTAAGTATATTTTATTATTTCAAGCACTCGAAATTTAAGAAAAATACCAAAACTCAATGTAGAGGTAGGTGAAATTAAATAGGTGCTAGAACAAAAATAGTAACTCGAAGACGAGTCTCCGGCAAAGAAAAGTTGTTAACGCTTGTGTTTGTCAACATGAAGCTTTTTTTAAAGGCATCCGGCCGCAACCAGAAAAGTTAATTTTCTTTTAATTAAATTAATTCTGTCCCTTTCTATGAGTAAACAAAAGTAGGGGATGGGGTCAGGGTAGTGGGAAACGCGCGAGTGAGGATCTATTATCGCAGTCACCCATTAATTCTTTATTTACAGTTTGTATAGACATTGTTTTCTCATGTATTAGGTACATATATATAAACCTTCCTTGAAATCTTATCGTACTGATGGTGAAACTTTGAAACCAATCAGAATAAATTTTTGAGATCACCTTAAACATTCTGATAGGTAAAAGACGCAACGCGTTCAAGGTACCATTCATATAAAATGTAGCGAAAGAGACTAGGTACATAAATGAGTCAGGACACTTCATCTTCTATTTATTTATAGTAAAGTATAGATTTATATTTAGCTTAGACCAGCAAATATCCAATGAACCAAATGCAGATTCATTATAAATGCCAAGCTTACCACACCACGCCGACGTGAAAGTATAAGGACCATATAACGGTCCAATCGAATACAAACACCAGATGTGGTTTGTTGGAAACCATCGTTGCATAAGACACACGGCCTAACAGCAGACACATGGCGGGCTGGGTGGAGCATCGAGGTCAAATAACTAATGAACGTCTGACAATTTGCTGTTATATCATACATATCGAATTGCGATACGCGTTACGTTCCCCGGTTCTCGGTAAAGAGCAATAAAACCAGTTCGAAATATATATTCTATCAGTATAATGAAAGCATTGGATATCGACTGACTTCGCTAGTTAGCCTACTTTAAATGGATGGTACGAAGAACTCCAAAGAATTAAATTTTAGTTTTCTTACCTAATCTACCCAAGTAAACTGCATCGTTTGGTAAGCACTGTAAGGCTTGTATTATGGGACTTACAAGGGTAAGGAGTAGAAGAGTGCATCACCATAATAAAAGTAGGTAGGTATATTCCTAGAAAAACTTGGCTGTCGTCAAAAATTAACTAAAAAGTAAAACAAATATATATTTGATATAAGACCTTTCAAAAGATACTTTTGTTATAATTAGAATTCTTTTTTTTATTGACGTAAATAATTGACATTTTGACATTGCTGTTATTTCATTTTTTTAGTTTTCTTACCTAATCTACCCAAGTAAACTGCATCGTTTGGTAAGCACTGTAAGGCTTGTATTATGGGACTTACAAGGGTAAGGAGTAGAAGAGTGCATCACCATAATAAAAGTAGGTAGGTATATTCCTAGAAAAACTTGGCTGTCGTCAAAAATTAACTAAAAAGTAAAACAAATATATATTTGATATAAGACCTTTCAAAAGATACTTTTGTTATAATTAGAATTCTTTTTTTTATTGACGTAAATAATTGACATTTTGACATTGCTGTTATTTCAATTTTAACAGTTTAGGTATCCCATGTTACCCAGGATGTTGAAAGGATGCTAACGATATGAGATAATCTTACGATTTCCTAATCTGATGCTCACTTGTTCTTTTAAAACCGAAGCTATCGAGTCAAGGTCGAAGCAATTTATTTCGCAGCCATTAGAATAGAATGGAGCTATTATGTCATCTCAGAATAGCTGCGTTTTGACAACAAATTTTGTAAAGCTAGGAATATAGATACGCATTCGCATTATAATAACCAAATTCGTTGTGGTTCTACCAAGGTTGAACTGGTATAAATTTAACAGCGTTGTTCCAACAGCGTTCGTAATTTGGCGTTTTTAAATTTTGGTTTTAAAACGATTGGGTTGTGAGCTAGGGTCATATCGTGCCATAGTAAACTTAGAGCATGCTCTAAGATAGTAAACGTTGAGCGAGCACCGGGTTTAAAATACTGCTCATTTCATTAATATATTATTCAACTCCGGCTACGGCCTTGGGCGTCACCAGTCTAAGATACAACACTTGGTTCGTTTTCAACTACATTATTATTGTATAAAGTTTTGTTTTCATTTCATTACGGACACAATACCACTAAATTTGAATCCGAAAGTATCAAACCATATATAAAATTTTCCACCAAACAATATTTGCTTGGTAAAAATGAACCCGCGAACTCTTTATCTATGCCGTGATAATATAACCAGCTCACAAAACGTCGCAAAAAAATACTAACACATTACAGCTCGTACATGCAAATAGTAGCTACACGCAAAACGCTTCTCTCTTTAAATAACACTCATTTTGTTATTATTAGCAATATTATGAAAATAGTTCCGCTGAAATGTTGATTTTAAAACAGATG